CATGCATTCTGGCCAGAGAAGCAAGAGCTCCGGTTTCAGGACCATACCTTATTTGTTTAGCTGGTCTGTACAGTGTTTGTTTGGCTGATCTGTACAGGTTTGCTAGAGGAACATCTGTTTTTCAAACTAAGCAGTGTAAGTAAGGAATAGTAGCCATGAGTAGATAAAAATAGTGAGAGAAGGAGCCCTACACGACTACAGTGCTTGGTGATCTCTTTTGTAGTGGAATGGAAAGTACTTTAAAATTCTGAGGAAACGTGGGTGAGCTGTGCCACAGCTAGAAAACAGTCAAGCTACTGCTTGCCAGGCTGCACTGTTAGGAATGGTATCTAGGCTGAGAGAGGAGAGAGCTGCCCCAACATGGCCCCAAGATGAGGCATGCACAGCATCAGAGTGCTGCAGCGTGATCACTAAATCTGGAAGTGGCCTGTGAGTGTATGGAACACACAGAACCTTTCATTCTGGTTCACTTGCTAATATCTCCTTTTCAACTGGCTACTGTAGTTCTCCTTGTGAATTTTGTCCCTTTGTTTAGCAACAAGATGCTAACCAACTCTTGCACTTATGACTTGCAAATTGTAGTCAAGAATATATGGAAGAGACCATGTGAATTAGCAAGTTTTTGCTTGCTAAATGAAAGTATTCCATTAAACAACTATGTGTAATTTTTGCAAAACAGAAACAATATTTTGGTCACTAGCAGTCAGAAGCTTTATAAGGCCACAAGTCTTTAAGTCAAATGCAAAATTGTGTGTGGATATGGTTATCTAGAGGGCTAGTAAATTTTTTTTTTTAAATCAGGTTTGCAAAGGGGTTCGTGGCCCAAATAAAGCTTGTAGCTACCTAGGCTTAGTGTTCAAGATGCTCCTTCAATGTCGTTTATGTGGGGAAAAGGGCGCTATGATACTCTGATTAGATGTTTTAATTTTCAAAAATTGGCTTTCAGAAACAAGAACACTTGACAAAATTGAGAGTGCATTAAATCATGTGTGACCATTTAGAGAAGAATGAAACAATCACTAGGGGCCAAGCGAGGAGGGCAAAAAAGCACTGGGGAGGGATGTTCTGCCCCTTCCCCGAGATAGCACCACCACCTTCCTCCCATCACCTGCTAACCTGCCCAGGAGAAGCTGATCTTCTGATTGGTCAGTCTGGGAGTTTACCAGGCTGGGGAATTATTGGTGGACCCAATAGTCTTGCTTAAACGTAGGTTCCATGCTCCCCTCCTGCTTTCTTTCCTCCCAGCCTGCCCCTTCCTCTGGTATAGAGGGCACACTTAATGTTCAGCATTTTGCAGTGTTTAAAGTAACCCGTTTAAGAAGTATCACCTTGTTGAGATACAAATAGCAGTGGTTCTGTTTTTCTAGTAACTCTGCCAACTGTGTTTTGGCGAATGCAGTTTCCCACTGGAAGCAAACTCTCTTCAAGGTCTTGTGCAACCCTATAACTTTTAATTCACTTTGCATTATTCAAACAATCTGATCTTGTTAAAAGTTTTTCAGTCATTTGATTTCAGAGCTCTTCCCCCCACCACCCACAGTGCCTACTGGATGTGCTTGGAGAAGGTAGAAGGCTGTGGTCAGAGATCTCCCCACTGGCTCTTTCTGCACCAGCTCTATGAATGATGGAAGAGGTAAGGAACTAGGGAAAAGAGCAGCTTCCTGCTGGGTGGTGCTGGTGAGGTTACTGTCCCCCTTTGCCTGATCACCATTAACTCATAGAAGGTAAACACCCTACAGGTCCTAACAGCCAAGCACTCAACTCCTAACAGCATTGGTGGTCCCTTATAAAACTTGACTATCCTTTCCTAATTTCCTGCTGGCGAGAGACATTCCTGTGAAATGTGTACCACTTTATCCCAGGCTGCACTGGTCCCTGCCAAGTCTTCAGCCCTTAGTTTCCTGTTTCTTCCCTGCCTACACGTCTGGAGTTGTGGGTGCAATAGTAATCCATCTTCTTTGCCTCTGCCTTCCCCTGCCTCGCTACTCCATCCAGTCATCTGTTCCTGATGCTCCTCCTGTATTAGTCCTGCAGCTTCTACACAGTCATCCCCTCTTTGAAATGTCAATAGCTCCCATACAAAGTTTATGAGTATTTCTCTAGAAGTTCCTCCTGTAGGTTTTAGCCAAAGGAAAAAGTCTAGTTTCCCCCCTCCCTCCTTTAGAGTAAGTCTAATTCCCACCCCACTCCACCCCCCAGGAAAATAACCTGTCTTCCAAACCCTGACCTCCCAAAAGGGGACTTCTTACCACCTCTATTTGTATAGGGCAATTGAGCTGCTGCTGCTGCAGGCCCACCTCTTAGCAAGCCCTGCATGGAGGTGCCCAGCTGCACAGCTGCTGGCTCTCTGGCCTTAGGAACCCAGTCTGGCTACTAAAACAATCTCTAATGGAGTTGCACCTCCTGACTACCTGAGGGGGACGCACAGCCCACAGGACTACTGACTGCCCTTGGTCCCACTCTTCCCTCCACCGCAGCCGCCCCCTGGCTTCCCTCCAGCGCTCATCCTTCTGCCTGCACCCCTTTCTCCTGACTGTGGCAAAAGCCCAAAGAACCAGAGGCTAGAAAAGCCAGACCCTGGGAGGGGTAACAAGAGGGAGCAGGAACAGAACAGGAAGAGGGGACCCTGGGGGGAGTCGGCGGCAATTATTTTTGTCCCATCGCACTCCTCTTCCGGTTCAGTCTAAGGCTATGTGGGTGGACGGGACCGCCACTCATCTGTGCGGAAGGTGGGGCCCGGACTCTGAGCCAGCACCACACGCCCAAACACTTCATTTTCTAATCTTGCTTTCCCACTGAGGGTGAGAAAAGGGGTGGGTTAGGATTCATAAAGCTGCACTTTGTTCCCCTTTTGACTATTGTTTCTGGTTTCAAATTTATCGTGTTAATGGTTTATTTTAGAAGGAGTTCAGAAGTAATTGACAGCAGGACTACTTTCCTCAGCACCATCGAGGACTCGGACGTTTATCCTGTGGTAAGTAGTACAGTGGCCCTTCGAAGATGCCCATGTCCTAAACCCCAGACCCTGTGACTATTTACCTTAAATGGCAAAAGCGACTGCAGATGTGATGGTTAAGGATTTTGACGTGGGACGCTTATTCTGGATCATCTATGAATCCTTAGAAGCGGAAAACTTCCCAGCTGCAGTGAGATGGCACCAAAAGACCCTGTTACTGCTAGCTTTGAAGATGAAGGGGGCATGAGCCAAGGAACGGGAGCAACCTCTAGAAGCTAGAAAGGACAAGGGTATGGTTTCTCCCCCAGAGCCTCCAAGAGGAAGAAGCCCTGCTGACAGCCTTGACCTTCATAGCATGACCCCAGGGTGGGCTGCAGCGCCAATGTCACATCCGCAACACCTGTGCTCAAAGGCAGGCAGCCCGGGAAGGGGTGGAGGGTGGGGACATACTTTCCTGTATGCCTCTTTCTTTTGGTCACTCAGGTAAAAAAAAAAATCTTTCCCAGAAGCTCTTTGGCAACCTTCCCCCTTACATTTCCTGGGCCAGAAGTGGGTCACATGGCCATCTCTAGCTCAGGGGGTGCTAGGAAAGCAAGTGTCCAGCTTTTCCAGCCTCTGTGATGGTGGGAGGACAGAGGAAGATGGCTGGGGTTAGCTGTGGCTTCCTTGGCAGGAACCCTGGGTTCCGGGAAGGGCAGGCAGGAAGATTGTAGTACCAAACCCATCTAACCCTTACCACACTCCTAGAGTCGTGAGGCGAGGAGGCATACCAGCTACTCTATGTGTGAATTTCAGCCAAGAATTTTGCCAAGCCTCTCATGTTCTTCCATTTTTGTGGCTATGATGAGAAAGTGGAGCAAAATAACATACCTGTATATAAGCTCCATGAAGAAGGGACCTCGTTTTATCTCATGTACCACTGTCTCCCTGGCACCTAATATAGGGCCTGACATATGGTAGGTACTAATAAAAAATTTTTTTTAATGGGGATTGAACCCAGGACCTTGTGCATGCTAAGCATGCACTCTACCAATGAGTTATTTTCTTCCCCCCTTAATACATTTTTTTAAATAATTTTTAGCCTTTTCTCCAAATACTTGCTCAAATTTAACTGGCCTTTCCAGCCACTGTGAATTACTTGCAATTTCCCCTAGAACCATCCCTCCCTGCCCCTCCCTCCGCCTGTGACCCAGAATACCCTTTCCTAGTCCTTCTGGTCCTCCTGATAAACTATCAAGCATCTTCACAAGCCAGTTCCCATGCCAGCTCTCCCAGGCCGCATGCACCTTTGAGGCTCCCATAACACTCTGTTCAGATATTGGGGTGACTCCTTTCTTTCTGTGCTGCATTTAGTGTATCTCCCTCACTCGGCTGCAGAGACCCTAACTGGATCCACTTGGCGCCCCCGGCCCTGCCCCACACGTAGCACGGCACCTGGTCCTGAGCAGGCTCTTATCAAGCATCTGTTGAGTAATAAGGCTGCAGGGTGGTCCTGATGGTTTTTGATACTGAAAAGAGAACAGCTCTATATTCGGTCTTTATCATTTTTTTTTATATCCAGGGCATACTGTACTAGATACTGTTTTTTGCTTCTAGCTCTATTAATCTTTTTGAGTCTCCATTTCTTCATCAGTGAAAATACTCATAGAGTCAATGCAGACTGAGTTAACACGGGCAGACTGCCTGACCTGGTACCTATCACCTTCATGCATGGCAGCTTTACTGTTAAGAGTACGGCCCCTCAAGATCTTAGTTTGGCCCAGAACTGCATTTGCTGACAGTCTTATTGACTAATTACCACCCAAAAAATGGTTAACATTTCTAAAACATTTTGATGCTAAAAGAGGTATGCTTCAGTTGTCTGGAAAATTCGCTTTATGGAAGAGGTTTTCTCTTTTGGACAATGCCAGTTATTTCTATTTTACTTTCTCTGGCTGACAGGGCTTTATATTTATTCAAAGTCAAAAGGGAAAAAGAAGTCCAAGAACTACAAAAGAGCAGGTTAAGTGATTTATGCTTGATTTCTAAATGCAACGTATGTGTCTATACATAATTTAAAACTCAAAGAAAGCATGCTTATACAAGTGTGTGTGACTTTAACATTTAATAACTCTGGATGAATACATGATGGAAACACTCCATGGCACCTGAAAATAACATTTATGGAACAGCATACAATTCAGTGCTCTCAGCTTGGGTATTACAACCGTATTTCACAGAGCCTTACTTGGTTTGATTTTCTCCATGGAGTTGATAATGGTCTTCAGTTGCTGGTAAGTGATTTTGCAAATTTCATTTATACTCCTGGACCTACAATTACCTAAGTTCTATTTCTGGCAAGTTAACGTACACATCATGCTCCAGTCAAGTACCTTCAAAGTTACCGATAAAGCACTGCCACAGGAGAGTGTCCCCACTAGAATGATGGCCACCCTGCGCACTGGGGAGAACACTGTATTGCTAACAGAAGTTTAATCTTCCAGGGGTGTGTGAACTTTGACCTTAGTTCCAGATATGCCTCAAAAAAAGAAAAATCTCAGCCTTCCTCCTCATAGCAGGTACTTTCAGGTACTTTTGGTGGCACCAAGGCTGGTGGGGAGCAGTGGGGAGAGCACTGGGCTTGGAATCACACCTGGTGAAATCCTGCTCTGGTCTTCACTTGCTGTGTGCCTCGGGCAAGCAACTTGACATCTCTGAGCCTCCAACGTCCTGACAGACGGAGAGACTTATTCCCCCCTCCACCAGGCTGTGGTAAGAGGACGTAAAGCTGCCACCCTGGCACGGAGGTAGGAGCTGAGTAACACTGCTGAAAGGATGAATGCAGGCGACGGGCGGTGAGCAGGACATTTCCCCAGCAGCCGCTGAGGGCAGCGCCCGCCTGTACCCATGGAGGGGCCGGCACAAAAAATTCATCTGTTGCATTTTTGCAGGTTTATGTTTGCAAAGCAGGGCATTCTTCCCCACGTGTTTGAGTCAGCATTTCCCCAAACCCATCCTGGGGGAAATTCTGCATCCTTTTCCATGCCCTCCCCTCCAAGGATTCTCGAGGTGAGCGATGTTGAACAAAATGAAACGTGCCATCTGCCAACTAGCAGAGGCAAAGCAGCCAGTAATTTGGACCAGTTTAGCAGCCCTGTTCTGCCTTCAGCCTCCCACACTGCGGTCTTCCCCAGGCACCAGAACTGTGATGCAAGGTGTACAGGCTAGGGCTTGGGGGGTGGCAGGACAAGGGTGCAGTCCCTCATGGTGTTTCAAGCCAGAGGGAAATGTACTGGAAAGAGGCTGTGGAAAGAAGCCTGGTGAGCCCATACCTCGGGACACAGCTGGGGAAATAAATTAGCTACTTCTATTGCACGTCTACCCACAGGACAGGCCTGCATCTAAATCTCCTCTCCCTCCAGCAGCTCAGAGGCAGCCCCAGGCTCCCCAAGAGCCATTTCCACCGACAGGCTCCTCTCCAGGTTCTCCAGCTCCTGGCGCACCTCCTCCAGGAAGTCACCATCTGTGTACTCGTCAGGGGCCCCTCTGGGCACCAGGCTCTCTCCGTCTTCGTCACGGCCCCCGACGAAGGTGGGCTTACACACGTACACCAGGCTGTGGCTGTGGAGGGACAGGGCTGCGGCTCAGCCGAGGCCCATGTCTCCCCAGGGAGGCAAGGCCCAGGCTCGAAGCTAAGGCACGGCCTCTGCCACTGTCCCCCATCTCACTTTCACAGAACCTCCTGACATCTCAAGAGTCCTCTTCAAACAGATGCTCAGGAGAATGTGTTCAAAGGGCAGCCCCCTCACATCTAGCTGCAGGGCTGTCCCCCTGTGTCTGGGCCTCTCAGCAGCCCTGAGCACTCTGGGGTCTGACAGTGCCCTGCCCACCTAGGCCTCCAGCCTGGAGCAGCCCCTAGGGGAGCCTTGGGCCCCAGGCCCAGGGTTCTGTCCAGCCACCCAGCCACCCTGGATTCTGCTGGCAGAGAGGGCGGAGTAGCGGCTGCTGAGGGATCCAGGGACACTTGCGCAGAGAAATGCACCTCGGCCCAGGCCTGGCGCATCAGTGTCTCTCTGCAGCCTCTGCTCCATTGGCTCTGCCCTCCCCTTGGGGGCCCCTCTGCTGGCTTCCCTCCTACCTCTCTGAAGGCACCGGCTGCCGCCTTCTCTGCTGCTCTCTCATTGTGATGGGCTTGGGCTCCTTCCACACCCAATCTTTGTCAAGTTCATCTACTCAGGAGGCTTCAACCTGCTTCTAGATGGACCCAAATCCATGCCCCTGGCCACACCTCCCGAACCTCAGTCCTACAGTCCCTCAATCTGGAAGACCCAAGGACACCTCAAACTGTATCTATCTTAAATCCACATCTCCCCACCGCTCCTGCTCCTGGCTCCCCACTGGGCAGTGCCTCATCTGCTCTCGGCCCCCAGGAGGAAGGACAGGTGAGACCTCACCTGTGGGGCTGGCAGAGGAGGCCACTGGCACATGGGCATCGGTCCAAAGCCCCATCGGGCTCCAGCTCCCAGGTGATGAGGTCCAGAAGCCGGCTGGCAGGGTCATGGCAGAGCTCACCCTCCACGGGGAGGGGTGTGCACACAGGAAACAACAGACCTAGAAGCAGCAAGAGTCACCCACTGTGCGCCCAGCACCAGGCAAGCAGGCACCAGGGAGGGAGCAGAGAAATGGGGTGCAGCCTCCCACCTTCCCCCCTGAACCCCAACGTGGAGGTTAGAGTTGAAGAGGTGGAGTGACGGGAAATAAGAATGGCAGCATGGGCTCAGGAAGGCATGAGCTGGGAGAGTAGGAGGACTGCCTGGAAGAGGTGGGCTTGTGCTGGGTTTTGAGGCCAGCAATCTGGAGAGATTAAGAATGGAGAAAGGTGTTCAAGGTTGAGCACAGAACCACTAAGGCCTGGGGTTGGGCTAGTGAGAAAGGTTGGGGGTTGGGGAGGGGGCAGTAAGATTCCCAAATAGGCCGAGGAGTAGAGAGAAAAGGACTGGCCGAGGCCTTGGAAGATGGACTGAGGAGTCTAACTGAAGCAACAGGACAGGAGCAACTGCAGCTCCCAGAGGAATGATACCCAGAGAGCCATCTCCTTGAGGAAGACTGCTGGGGCAGCAGGGACCAGGTGGACTAGGGGCCGGGAGAGGAGGCTAAGGGAGGGTTTCAAAAACATTTGTAGATGGGGAGCATGTCTGAGCCGACCTCACCTGGGAGGGGCAGTAGAAGGGAGCCATTCACAGGAAAGTGGACCTGGGCCAGGTGCTACCATGAGGCCTGGAGAATGAGGGGAGTGGGGTGGGGAGGGGTGTTCCTCTCTCCTTGGGCTCATGCCTCCTGAAGGAATTTAATTTCTAGGCATCACAGGGAAGGAAAAAAGAAAAAGATGGTCTTCCACCCCAGGCAGAGGCTGTGGGGCTGGGACATACCCATGAGCACTGGGGGACTCTGCCTAGGAAAAGGTGTGGTTGGCATGGACAGGGCCCCGGGAGGCCCAGTGGTGGAGCCTGGGATAGGGCTTGCCCTGCGCCCAGTGGGGAACACACCCACCTCTCTGGAAGGCACAGCACAGCCCCAGCTGGCAGTCCCTCTGGTTGTCACAGATGGTCCCATTGCCACCTCTGGTGGCTGTTTTGGTGCAGTGACCCCAGACGCACAGCTGGTCTCCACAGCACTCACTATCCCGGGTGCAGAGCTGCAGAGGGAGGGGAAACACACTAGCCAGCCAGCTCACGGACCGCGGGGAACCCAGCCTGCCCCGACTCCAGGAAGCCTGGAGATAGCGCAGGTGGGCTAACCCACATCCTCCCATTACAGACAGGAGAAAACCAACCTCCTACACCTGGGGGGCTCTAAGGGAAGTCAGGGCGGTGGAGATGGCAGCTGGGCAGGTGAGATGGAAAAATGGCACCTGGGGGAGTCCCACACAGCTTGAGATTTTACAAAGGATGGTTGCATCTTCACGGTTCCCCCATGGACTTGGGCCTTGCCTCCCTTTTATTAGGTCCCTAATTAAAGGTCAGGAAGGAAGATGGCCTATGGCCTCCAGACGCAGACAGCAGCCTGATTCTCATCAGCTGATTAAATTAAGGCCCAGGAAGCCACGTGAATGGGGGAGGGCCCTGGGTGCCACAGGCCTGGAGTCGCACATGGGGAGCAGTGGCACCGGGATGCCAGGAGCTGCCTAACCACAGGTATGGCTGGGTAGGCAGTACGAAGCCTTCTATTTTCCTAACTTGTTATCGCCTTAATAGTGAAAAGGACAAGAAAATTCTATGAGCCTACATGGCTTTGTCCAAAACCTCTGCTGGATGGAGGGAGAGTCTCCTCCCCGCCTTTCTGCTTCTCTGTGGAATCGCCATATGGGACGTGCTCTGACTTCTTCTGGGGCCTCCTTCTGCCCTCTCTGAGAGACTGGGAGAAAGATCTGGGCAGTGGGCAGCAGGCCGGGAGGGAAAAGGCTGCCCCATCCCTGCCTGAGGTTCTGCTGTGGTGTCCTGGCTGTGTCTACTAGGATGGTCCTTCCCAGGGGAAGGGACAGGGTGGGGCCTCTGCCCTCCCACTCCATCTCTGTTATCCATGAGGCAGGCATTAAGGCCAGAGGTCACTGGGCAGGTGAGGTGGCAGCAGGTCTGCAGGTGGCTTCCTAGTCACCCCAGGAGTCACCCCCTTGGGCACCATGCATGGAGGCTTCCAGGAAGTCCAGCTGAGAACTGTGGGCTGCTGGTATTCTCCCAAGCCCCTTATTCTGGGCCCCCATGGCCCTGGTGCTGCATCCCTGGGGCCCCTGGGCACACTCACTGTCTGCTGGTCCCGGCATGGCTGGCAGGAGTACTCGAAGCTGGCAAACTGGCAGTACCTGCCCGGCCCGCAGTCCTCATCAATGATGCACTCCTGGGAGGAGAAGGGGGTGGAGGAGCAGCTTCATCAGTGAGAGGCAGACCAGCTGACCCACGGTGCCCTGGAAGGGCCGAGCCCCACTTCACCCCACAGTCTTGGCCCCCAGGGACAGCCTCCAGACCCCCTCACTTCCCAGCCCACCCGGCTCTCTTCAGCATCCACTCCCCCAAGGCTGGCAGGGCCCTCATCTACCCAGCATGTCCAGGCTTCTGCCCAGCAGGATGCCACACCCATGCACACAGTCGCCTCTGTGTGCAGCCCTCCCCCTCACACACCCGGGCCATTCTTCAACACAGAGCAGATGGATTTAATAAGAAGAGCTAATGAGCTTCAGGCGGGGCCGGCTGCACAGGAGGGGCTGGAGTCCAGGCCTAGCAGGCCGGGCTGACAGGGAGGGAAAAGGGCTGCAGAGCTGTGCAGCTGAGCGGCAGCAAGGGGGCCTGCTGAGGGCCTGGTCTGGGGTCCAGGGCTGCCAGACACAGGCAGCTGCCAACTTGGAAACCGGAGGAGGGCGCGGCTGGCGCTCAGCCCTCCAGCAAAGTTGACAGCCCTGCTCAGCTGGAGAAATGGGGGACAGAGGGAGGGAAGTGGTCTGTCCATCCTGAGGTCCACAAGAGGGAGGCCACTGTGGCCGGGCCACGATCACAGCAGGGCTGCTTCGGCGCCAGACCTGCTGTCGGCTCAGGCCCGGGACTGGCAGCTTCAGAGGGAAAGAGGGCTGGAGAGGCGGGAGGCACGACAGCCCCTGCCGGTGCCAGCGCCGGCGGGCTGCACACCCCGAGCTGCCTCGTGCTCCCACTGCAGGCAGCAGGAAGGGATTACTTTCCTGGAAACCGAGGCTCAGAGAGGCCAAGGGGCCGCTCAAGATAGTACAGCTAGTCTGGGGCAGGGGTTTCTCTCCACCACCGGCCCTTGGCTGAAAGGGCTCCAGGCGTGGCCGTCAGAGACACAAGGATGAGAAAGCCTCTCCTGAGGCAGGTGTTCTGGGGCCTCAGAGCAAACCTTCTGGGAGGATCTCAGGGAGGGAGGACCTGGGCAAGCTCCATCCTGAAAGCAAGTGTGGAGCCAGACCCAGTGAGGCCTGGCTGGGCAGGCCCCCGCCTAAGGGGCCCCAGCTGTCCCCACCTCTGCTCTGTGAGCTGAGGCCCCAGTGCTACTGAATATGGACAGGAGACTGTAAATGGGGTCTCCAGGGACCCCTGGGGCCAGAGCATGGGTGTAGGCCTGGGGGTCAGCAGGGAGGCTCTGGCTAGGCAGCCTAGGGAACAAATCTCTGTCCCTGGGAAGTGGCTGGTGTCCCTTAGCCAGCACTGCAAGCCTGAGAAGATGAGCATTTGATTCAGGGCAGCTGCAGCCTTGGCCTCTGCACAGGATTGTTGTAACCCCAGCCTGGCACTGCCCCCTAGCCTGGCACACCTCAGAGCACAGGTCATGTTCTGCTCATCAAGCAAGGCTCGCCCAGCCAGGAAGACCATTGGTCCCTCCAGACACCACTGGTCCCACTGGACACCACCCGCCCCTCTGAGGATGACAGGGGGCCAACCTGAAGACGTGGGACAGGTCACCCCCAAGTGCCAGGCTCTGTGCTCACCAGGGGCTCCAGAAGGAACCAGGGCTGGCACCCAGAATAACTGAAAAGTAATTTAAACCTCTACTATAACTTCTCAAAAAGTTTCAAAGTGTAACTGAACAGGACCCTATGGGGCCTTCCTGGGACAGGTACCCCCACCCCCAACCCCACCCCGTGTTTCCTGCCTCTTGTTTGTAGAAAAGCTTTAGCCTCCTAGGCATTCCCCGAGTTCCAAAGAAAAAACTTAATCAGAGAAGTGAGAAAATGCAGAGCCGAAGGAAAATAGAAAATGGTCAAGCAAGACAAAATAATACTGGTTTAGCTATTAAGCAAGTAAAGGACCTTTAGTTCCTCTGAAGGGCTATAGCTCTTATTCTGAGGCATAGCCTTGAGCTGTTTTGCAAATATGGAAATCCCCACCAAGTGGAAGAAGTTAACTGTATGCTGACCATAAGCATGAAGACCCCAGGTCTGTTGTAACCAGAAGGTTGATGATGTTGGCTCCTGATTACTTCACCACCAACCAATCAGAAAAATGTCTATGAGCTAATCATGCACTGGGCAACCCTCTCCCTCACCCTGCCTTCAGAAGCCTTCCCTCAGAGCCACGGGGGAGTTTGGGGCTTGTGACCATTAGCCACCCGTTCTCCCTGCAGTGAACGCTGCACTTTGCTTCCCCACAACCTGCTGTCAGTAGATTGGCGTTACTGCGCGCTGGTGAGCAGATTCAAGTTTGGTTTCAAAAGAAGAGCATCTTGCCCAACACCCTGCAAAATGACCAAAAATTGCTCTTCCTTGTGTCTCCCCAAAGTCCCACTCCATCCCAGCCCAGCTGCCCCTCCCGCAGCTCTGCCCTCGGCTTCCATCACCATGGCAGGCACAGCAGCTCAGCAAGCAGAGTCTGCCCTCCCGAAAGGAGTGGATCTCGTCCCTGTCCCAAGCCAGCAACCCTGAAAAGTCAGGGTGCCACCATCGCCGTTCTCATCGGCAAGAAAACTGAGTCTTGGGGGCTGAGCTGGGGCCAGGCACTCAGTCTGTTTGCCCCCAGAGTCCATAATGGCCTGAAAAGCCCACGGGGCTGTAAGTAAAGCACTCAGCCACCACGCCTTCCTGGACACAGACAATTCAGCCAGTTCAGCCGGAAGCATCCTGGCGTTTCTTCCAAAATAGAACAGCCAGAGCACGGGTGGGAGGGCCCACAGGCATCAAGTCCTTTCTCTGAGCCCAGTCAGGTATAGAAGCAGTGGGATGCAGACAGGAGTATGAGAAAGCCCTTGCCCTCAAGGAATTTATCATTCAGTTGAAAAAAATAAAAAAGGGTGAGGGCATCACAGCAGAAAAGAAGGTGAAGAGAATGACCAGACAACTTATAGACAGAGAAACTGTCTCTTCACTCAGAAAAGATGTTCAACCTGACCAATATCAAGAAAATGAGCTTAAAAGAGCAGGATACCGTGTTTTCACTTAGAAGAGACACAAGAACTTTGATACTATCTGCAGTAGGCAGAATACCAGCCCTGCTCCAAAATGTCGATACCCCCTCCTTCCTGGAAGCTGCGGACGTGCCATGTTACACGGCAGGGGACAGTAAAGTCACAGGTGGGAATAAGGGTGCTAATCAGCTGACCTGACTTAAGGAGAGATGCCTGGATTATCCAGGGGCACCCAGTGTAATCATAAGGGGCTTCACAGACGGAAGGGAGTAGCGGAGTCAGCGTCAGAACGACGACACTTACCCCTCCGCACCACCCTCCCACCCTAGTCATCCAGACTTCTCTGGCATTGAAAACACAAGGGCCACGGGCCAAGAATCAGTATTTCTCCCAGAGCTTCCAGAAGAAGCACAGCCCTGCCAACACTTTGATTTCAATCCAGTGAGACTCCTGTTGGATTTCTGACTTAAAGAGCTGTAAGATAATACATCTGCATTGTTTTGATAAGTGCTGGAGAGGGTGTGGAGAAAAGGGAACCCTCCTACGCTGTTGGTGGGAATGTAATTTGGTGCAGCCATTAGGGAAAACAGTAAGGAGATTCCTTAAAAAACTAAAAACAGAGCTACTGTATGACCCAGCAATCCCACTCCTGGGCATATATCCAGAGGGAACTCTAATTCGAAAAGACACATGCACCCCAGTGTTCACTGCAGCACTATATATAATAGCCAAGACTTGGAAACAACCTAAATGTCCATTGACAGATGACTGGATAAAGAAGTTGTGGTATATTTGCACAATGGATTACTACTCAGCCATAAAAAAGAATAAAAAATGCCATTTGCAGCAACATATATGGACCTGGAGATCGTCATTCTAAGTGAAGTAAGCCAGAAAGAGAAAGAAAAATACCATATGATATCACTCATAGTGGAATCTAAAACACACACACACACACGCACACATGAACTGACATACAAAACAGAAACAGACTCAGACACAGAAAACAAACTTATGGTTACCTGGGGAGAAAAGGAGTGAGAAGGGATAAGCTGGGTGTTTGAGATTTGCAGATACTAACTACTATATATACAATAGATAAACAAGTTTATACTGTACAGCACAGGGAACTATACTTAATATCTTGTAGTAACCTATAATGAAAAAGAATATGAAAAGGAATATGTGTACATATATGTATGATTGAAACATTATGATATATGTATGATTGAAACATTATGCTGGACACCACGAAATTGACACAACATTGTAAACTGACTATACTTCAATTAAAAAAAGGTAGGGAGAGAGTAGCATTCTCAGACAAAATCAAGACACTTAATAAACTTTGAATTTCAGATAAAAATTTTCAGAATGCTTTCTGCTTAATTTTTCGTTGTGTTTAAACCACTAAATATGCAGTAATTTGTTACAGCAGCAATAGGAAACCAGTATAATTACCCAGTGTTGGTAGGGACTTGAGGAGCATTACCAGATGGTAATTTGGGGAAATTTAAATTGAGGTACATGTTCTTTGAAGGCAATTGATCAGCATCTATCCAAAATGTAAATGCATAGAGCCACTGGCCCAGTCATTCCCGTTTCAGGTGGCGATCCTCAGAAACACTTGTCCATACATGCAAATTGCCAAGTGCAGGGATGTTTTGGGCTACATTGGTATAATATTTATAATCCACGAATAGTGGAAATGTCCAATAAGAGGGAACTGATTAAATTATTGTACAATCATTTCATGGGAAAATGGCACCAGGGAGACACGAAAAAGAATGAGGTAGTTCTTTGCATCATGATGTTTACAATCCACCAGTAAGTAAAATGAGCGAGTGGAAGAAGCCTGTAGTCCCACTTCTGTAAAGCAGAACTACACGTGCGACATGTGCCTGGGCCCAGCACGGCGCCTGGCACGTAGGGGCACCAACGGAGCTGTGTTGAGTGGGTGAAACCCCTTGTACGTCACTAGTGCTGGTGCA